TTTATCAAAATAATACTGTATAGTGGGAAATTTTGGAGGAAATTAAATTTGGCAAATTGGCGTTTTGATAGCAATGCGCCATAATAAAAATCTGCCATTTTCAGCAATAATACACATGCTCAATGGCACGTGGCTACAAATTCACCAAATTAAAATCTGACAATCACCCAGAATTTAGCAATTTGCCAAATTTTACTCCCTTTAAAATTTCCTGCTATATGGTACTTGTATTTATGAGACGTTACATGTATTTGTATTCCAGAGCTTCTTTTATGTCGAAAAGTCTAACAGTTGACAACAGCACAATCAAGTTTCAAATATGGGATACAGCTGGACAGGAGAGAGTAAGTCACACAATAAATATATTTTATTTATTATTTTTATTCTTTTTTATCTCTTCTAATTAGTATCGGTCGCTATTACCAATGTATTACAGAAATGCAGCAGCAGCCATTGTTGTGTATGATATAACAAATGAAGTAAGAATAATAATAATAATTACTGTATGGCGGAAAATTTTGTGTCCCAAACTTTTTCACGGATCTGTCTAAAGATCAATTTTGTGGCTTTAATTTTTGTGGTTTTCTACTTTTTGGTAACAGATTTTATTTTCATGAATTTTATTTAATAAAAGTTGGAAATAAAAAACTAAATAATTAAAATAATTTAAACTTTTAAGTTTAAATTTACTTACTTTTACTTTTACTTTGACGAATTTTACTTTGTCAAGTTTGTGGCCCTGTGCCATTGAGCATGTTGCAAATGGCTATTAAAATACCAGATTTGCCAAATTTAATTTCCTCCAAGATTTCCGCTATACAGTATAACTATACAGTATATAATGACGTGCAGAATATAGAATAAAAAATATATATATATAAATAGCAAAATATTTTGTGGCCCGAAATTTTTGTGGTTTTCTACTTTTTGACCACAGATTTTACTGTCATGAATTTTGTAAAAAATGCGAAATATTATTTACATTTATTGTTATATTATTTATTATTATTATTATTGTTGTTGTTGCTGTTGTTATTATTATTATTATCATTATTATGTACATTGTTGTACATGTAGGGATCATTCACAGTGTTACAGGATTGGATAGCAGAACTACACAGACTAGGTCCACCTAATATTGTATTAGCAATTGCTGGAAATAAATGTGACCTTGAAGATAAAAGAGAAGTATGACCAGTATAATTGTATATGTACATAAGAGCATTGAAATGCAATAAAAATTTTGAGGTGATTTTAGAGCCATTTTTCCAAAAAAAAACCATAGGCTTATAGTCTTGGGTATTTTTATTATAATAAAAATTTTTCAAAAATTGGCCATTTTAAAAAACGGCTATAACTTGGGAAATTTAAGTTGGAATCAGCTCAAACTTTCTACACAGCATAAGGACATTAATATGTATCAGAAAATGTAATAAAAAATTTGGGTGATTTTGGAGTTATTTTTCGGAAAAAACCATGGGCTATAGCTTTGGGTATTTTTTAAAAATTGGCCGTTTTAAAAAAATGACCATAACTTGAAAAATTTAAGTCAGAATCAGCTCAAATTTCCTACACAGCATAAGTACATCAATGTATATCAGATAATGTAATAAATCCTTTTCTCTCTCCCTCTTTCTACTACACTCTCCTTTTATC